CTCATTTTCAAAAGTTGTTATTGTTCTAACTGAACATCAGAATTACAATATGTTTAATATTTTAATTCTGAATATTTTTTTTGATTATTTATACAATGCCATTTCAGTAAGTTAACAAAATAATTAAGCATCTTAAATATTTTGTTTTGCTTCAACTTTTTTTTTTTAAACTCTAAATTCTTTCAACAGGAATAGGAAAAAAAGATCAACACGTGGAAATCAGTTATATGAATAAATGAATGATCAAAATAAAAATGAACAGATCTAAAAACAGGGGACCTAATGCAAATATATATATATATATATATATATTATGATTGGTATGAGATTGAAAAAATGAACTCCAGGAAACCTTTTTAGTAAGTGGTTGAGAAAAGTTATTTAAATTTTTTGAATTTTTTGTTAATGACCTCTAAGATATAATTTTTCAATGTCCAATAGGTGGATTTTTTGGTTTTCAAAATTAATTTAAATATTATAATTTTCTTTTTCTTTTCAGGTAATTATTTAAATTTGTTTTTATTGAAAAAAATTTTGAATTATAAAAAAAAAAATTCTTTCCCATATTTTTTCCTGATGACAGTTCATTGATTAACAAAGCTTTTTTTTTTTTTTGTGATGTAAAAATTTATTCATTTGAAAATGAAATTATTTTTAGATGGAAAAAATTTTATGAATGTAGTTTCTGTTTCAAATGCCAAAGATCCATTCAGTCTTTTCTTTTTCCTAGTGATTTTTTTTTTTTTTTTCTTTTTGCCTTTTTATTTTTGAAAATTCAAAGGACATTCAAGTAATTTTTTTTTTTTATAGGACTTGTTTTTTGGTGGGTGGGAAGGGGCTTTTTGGTTTTATTTTTGAAGAAGTGAATAAGAGAAAAAACAAAATTTTTAAACTGTAGAAAACATCTGAAAATGAAAGGAAAATGAACTCCAAAAAAAAAAAAACAAAGCCTGTAATTCTTAACAATTTTACACCATTTTTACCTTCTAATTCTCTTCCTACAGAATGATGGCTTCAAACGGTAAAAAAAGCTTTATGATATTTTCAAAATATTTGAACGTGAAGGAACTTTTGTCTGCTGGTAGAAACAATATTTATTTCTGAATGTGTTTCAATTAATTATTGATTTGTTTAAACATTTTTGATTGAAATTGAAAAAAAAAACAAAATTTACATTCATTTGCTTTTATCAATTTGAAATTGACACCCTTTTACAATTTTTATCCTAAACATTTTTTAAAAAAGTGTTTGAAAATATACGACTTAATATAATTTTTGATTGTGTTATAGACAAGCGTATGGTTGCAAGAAAGAAAATACGACAACAGCAGAAAAAGATTTACGTGGTTTATTTCAACAGGAACATGTGGGTTTGAGACAGCTACCTTGTGGTAAAGTTCATAAGCCGGCTTTTGAATCTAGGTCAATCTCTCATAGTAGTTCACACATGTTGATGGTGGTTGGTGCTCCTGCTGATGGCTGCTGAACACTTGGCCTGACCGTGACAGGTCTCCTTTGTGGCCACCTGTTGACTGCCTGTTGAACTTCCGTGTGACCCTGTTTATAGTTTTTTTTTTTTTTTTAGCTTAACAGGCTTGAAAAATGAAGCGAGTATAATTAGGAGGGAAGCATTTTTATTGGACGAAAAATAGAGCACTTTAAATATTATTTTATTTTTCGACCGGAACACGTGTGTCGGGAACATTTGTAAAGAAAGATAATGGTCATTTTGTGATGGGGCTTTGTCCCGTTCACATCCGGTTCTCGCTCTTGAGTATTTGCCTGTAAATCAGCCGAGATATGTCTTATTTTATTTTATAACAAGTGTTTGATCTGTAAAATTCATTTGCTCTCATATATAGAGATATAGGTCACATGATATGAGGTGATCTCCTATTGGTTAATTAAAACAGGTGGGTTTGGAAAAAGCTGACTCAGAAGGGACATGCAAGGAATTCTCTCCACTGCTATGGTACCAGTTACCAAGGGTTGTCTGAACCTATTTCACTTCACCAGGTAGTTAAGTCCTTTTGATATATATCAATATGTGTGTGTTCAAATGTGGAGGAGGCACAGTGGAGTAATGGATGCACTTGATTGAGGAATATGAGCCTATATTTTATTATAATAATCCATTACATTCACTGGACAGACTGGTAATGGAAGCCTATGGGATGGCAACTGGTCTAGGAGAAGGACAAATAACTGAATTCAAAACCTGCAGAGGGTCATTTGGGAACCTTGTGTCATTCAGTGAACCAGGTCTCTGTATTCGTCCTTCAAAAAGTGTGGATGGTCCTGCAAAAAAGCCTTCACCACTATAATCAAATCTCATGTGCCAGTGTCGGGCTGTCGGTTTCCTGAAACTGATCTGCTTGACCTGAAATTGTGCACGTCGAATCTAGACATGGGAGAGTCATTATTTTTATATTTATTTATATATTTATTTATTGTGATATTTATTTATTTATATATATATATATATATATATTATAGCAATCCTTCATTTATACATGTTTTTTGTGAAGAGATAAATCTTTGTCATGAATATATATGAGGATCAAAAATATGACTGTAATTTTGTTGCTTAAATTCAGCTGTTTCATTTTAAGATGTTATATCATCATAGCTACTTTGCAGTCTAAAAGATTAGATTTTAAGATGTCTACACATGACTGGAATTCGAGTAAAAATAGCCACTGCGTTGTAAGATAAATTAAAAATGGTCATTACTGTCAGGTAAAGACTTCATAAAAATTATGAGATAATTTACTTACATTTCATCAGTTCTGCTGCCTAGCCTCTGCAGCTCCTTATCTGGAGTTCTGAGCAAGTGATCAGATAGTCCACACACCCAAGAAATGGAAACAACAACTAGTGTGGTTTATGTCTGATACAGGCATGTTGTGATGACTGGCCAAGCTGACCGTTCAACCATATTACATAATCACTGGTTAATAAGCAAAATATAAATTAATACAATTAGATTGCATTAATAAACCTTTTATATAATTCAAAAGTCATGGAAACATCAATAATCATGACAAATAAACTTAGATATGAAAAATCTTATTGACGAAAATGATCATTATATTCGTGTCGCCCATTCATTCGTTTTTTTTCTATTATGGTGTTTGATCACGACACCATAACGAAAAGAATTAATAACCAAATTCTCAAAAATTTTACTTGACTCAAGAAATTTTATATTTCTTTTTTATTATTGTTATTTTCACATTTTTGGAAGATGAAGTTGCATGATTTTTGCTTTCCTCAGCCTTGATGGCACTGGTGGGCGAGGAAAAGTTGGTCATTATCTTGAGCAGGCCCTTCTGCTGGCAGTAATTTTGGTTCTGTGGCTGTTGGCATTAGAGTTGACAAAAGGAAGAATAGATTTTTGAAACCACAATTTTTATTCAGGGCTTTCGTGCTTTTTTATTTCATGTTTTCTTTTTTTTTTTTTCTTTTTTTTTTTTGTCATGACTAACAAATGAGTTTCTCTTTCCCTGTCTTCACCACATTGTGTCATTTTTCTTTATTTTTTTTCTTTTTTTTTTTTTTTTTTCTTTTTTTTTTCTTGTTTTTTTTTGATTTGTTTTTTTTTCTTGTTTTTTTTCTTGTTTTCTTCTTAATTTTTTCTTGTTTTCTTTGTTTTCTTTTCTGAGTTTTCTTTTTTTCATTGTTTTTTTGGGGGATTGTTTTTTTTTTTTGTTTTTTTCAAAAAAATGTTTTCTTTCCTGTGATTTATAAATTTTTGATCTTGTGTTTTCTAACAACTTGATTGGAATAGAGGAGGTTTCTTCAGGACCATGTTCACTCTTGGCCCTAAAGATGACTTTGCATGGAGACTTTTAGTTATTTCTCTGCCTGATACACCCAAGATGAAACATTTGACCTGCATTTAAAATCATTTTCAGCAATCCTCATGAGTCATCATCTTAAATAGCCTTGTCAAATTGAGACTTTCATTTGGACAGAAAACTCGTTCAGAAATATTTACTGTCAGCTGTATACAACTGCTTTCTCGGTTCAATAGTTAAAAATGGCTTTGAGCGAATAAGGACCATCTCTCCTCAAAATGTGTGAACTGGTGCTATGAAATTACAAAGAAATAACTCTACCAAAATGGGTAGCAAATGTAACGCAAAGACATAATTAAAATATTAACATTCCACACTACTTCAAGTAAAAGATTAAGAAGGAAATTCCCATCAATACTGGAAAGAGAATTTACAATAGACTTGAAACTTATTTTCTTGAAGAATATCTGTCTATATCTCTGAGATATTATGATTACTTGTATTATTTACATCACTTGGACTATTATCCTCATCTTCATTGTCATATTCACAATGATTCAGCTGTTATATGCTCCAACCTTCTTCAGGTGATTGTAATTTCAAACCAAACCCATTATTTCGTCCACCATAGTAGTTCTAGTTCCATGTGCCATGCCTCTTCCAGATGTCTCAGGTTTTCCCTTTAACTCAACTCTCAAAGTTTTGGTTCTAAACTCACAATTCTTTGGGTCTGGTCACTGGATCTAACCACCGTCTTTATCCACTAAACCATGTGTCCTTGAAGAACGAAACGTTGTGAATATGGCAATAAAGATAAGTCTGAGTAATGTAAATAATGCAAGAACTGTTTTAATAGAAATATTTTATATATTTCAACTGACAGTAGCACTACTGCTTGGTCATTGAATACTGAATGTTTTCTTAATTTAAAAAAAAAAAATGGCTATTATGAGAACTGAGAACAGATGCTACATTTTGGTCATGGAGTGAAGAAACCATTCATTCTGATGTGAAGGAAACAGCTGTTATTACCATTATTGGAATTGGTCTTTCTTTGGCTGAATTGTCATATAACACTAAAATCTTTATGAAAGAATATAATTCTTTTTTTTTTTTTTTTTTTTTTTTTTTTTTTCTTAACTGCTAAAAACAAAAAAACAATTGTTTCCTTTCCAGGTTCATATACTGTTTTATCCCGAAATGCTTTTTGACAAGAAATTTGTCTGCTATCACGCCTGTGAGCTGATCTGTCAATGCGCCAATGCTTCCAGTCACCAACAACCAATAGTGATTCCTTTTCTCCTGCAAGGGGTCAGTATCTCTTTATTTTTCTTCCAAAATATTCAAGTCAGCCATTTGTCTGTTCTCTCCTTTGACGTTTATACCAAATGTTAGGCAGATTTCTCTTTTGTAACTATTACCGCTATGATATCTGTTGTGTTTAACAGAAATGATTACCAAATTAGGTGAATTCTTTCATATTGAGAGGAGTAACTTTCTTTTAAATTAAACAAGTCATTTCAGCATAAAATTTTATACCAACAGATATTTTGTCATTTGTAAACAAACTTTTTTTTTTCTGTTTTTATTGTTCTTTTTTTACTTTTCTTTTTTTTTTCTTTTGCTTTCGTGTGTTTTTGTTACTACTGTTAATCCAATACAAGAGCCATTAAGGCAGAGGATTATTGTTTACTGTTATAGACTTATATTACTGTAAGAAAGGACAAGTGTTAAGATTATAGAATTAAAGTTGACTTTAGAAGGAACTGAAAACCCAATCCTGAACAGGAAACAAGAGATAAATATCTACCCTTGTTTGTCTTTTAGTTGTTTTTGTTTTGTTTTTTGTTGTGGTGAGAAAGACTTTAGAATTAGGCAGCTTTGGTGATTTTTAAACAAAAATATTTGAATATGAGGCATAACCCATTTCATTGTCATTGTAATGAAACCTTTTCTCTCTCTTCCTCTCAAATAGTTTTTAACCAATGACCGATGTAGTTTGGCCTCACTCCTGTCTGAAACTGCAGGTTCTCGGTCTTCTATGACCTCATCGCTTGCTTCATCAACAGAACCAAGTGAAACGTCTTCCTCGGCTTGGTAAGTTTTTTTTTATATATATATATATATATATATATATATATATAATATACGTGAATATAAATTGATGGCACAACTTATTTTTATTTTTGTATAGTTTTACAATCTTCAGGTACACACACATGTGTACACACATGTGTATATACATATATATATATATATATTAATAGAAATCTTATAAGTATAAGAAACTATACTCGCTCAGAAAACCTTTGGTGTGTTGATTTGCAAATAAACAAGCCAACACCAAAGGGGAAAAAAAGGTATAAAAAAAGAAAGAACCAAGAACATGTACGTTAACTGAAAATAATCGTCCAGCATACGGGTTCAAGGCCCAAAGAAAAAACTCTATGCAAGAATCCAAAATAACTAAATAAAGTGCTCAATACAATGAGTAGAGCAGACATAGTTAAACCTAGAGAGCCAGACAAAACTACCAAGGTTTCACCTAAGTGGATCGTCAGGGAAGGCTGGCAAAATATATATATATATATATATATATATATATATATATAACAACTTGAAAGGCTGTTTGACCAATACAAGGATTGACCATGATTAAAGATAAAAAAAACAAGTGAAAATTACAGATAAAGTTCACTTTCTTCAGAAACAGTCATTCACTCCTGTAGTTCACTGCTACTAACAAGCAGGGATTCCCCAACCCAATGTTTGCCATGCTGGCCATAACTACTCAAGGAATTTAATTGAAATAATAAAACAAAAAATAATATCATACCACCCAGTGTGTCTGAAAATTTTAATTTTTAGTTTTTTTTATTTTCAAAACACACACACTCACACACACATATATATATATATATATATATATATATATATATATATATGTATGTGTATATAATCTGTGTGTTTAAAATAGGACATCAAATCCTGATAAAGTTTTTAAGACATTTGACAAATGGAAATTATTTCATTGAACTAGATTTGATTACGTGTTAAGTTTTTTTTTAAGGCTTCATCAAATCCAAAAACGAAAGAAATGCATTTTCTGCTTAAATAATTATTCCTTGTACTTTTTCCTTAAGCTGGCGTTTCTCGTGATTAAAGAAGAAAGAAAATGAGTAAATTTAAAAAAAAAAAAAAAAGAAAAGTATTCTGTATTTTTTCTTTCTCAAAAGTTGTTTAATATATTTTTCCCAGCTTTTTTGTAACAAATTCAAAGTGGCTCAAAAGCAAAAAATTCATACAGCCTTTTCTGAAATTAATTGACGATGATGAAGCCTAGGAAGGCAAAACCTGTAATCAAATCTAGTTTCAATGAAACATTTTCCATTTGTCAAATTTCTTTAAAATTTTGTCGGGATTCTTTGTCCTATTTTTAAGACATTGTTGACACAGAAAACATGGACCTCAAAACAAATCTTTTACTTTAAACCCATTCTAAAGGTTTGGATGAGGATTTAGCTTGGAGCCATTTCATGCTTAAAAGCCATCTTCAGGCTATGGGTGGGGGAGGTAAGTGATTCTCACTGTTACATTGCGTTTTTGTCTTATTTAATTGTAATATACAGAAAAATATTTGTGGATTATGATCAAAATAAGCAGATATGTTTTGTAATTTATTCAATCAGACATGCCTAAAAGAATTTGATGCTTACATATGCACACACGTGTGTGTGTGTGTGTATTAAAACATTTTTCATAGAAAATATGCCTCCTTGGACATTCAGGCCGGTAAATGTCATTAATACTGTTTACTATAAACAGAGCATTTACTTAAATATTTGTATCTATAAAAAGAATGTATAAACATAAAAAATGTCTTAAAATAATTGTCGGACTTTGTCCATTTCATAATGTGTGACATCATTTGTTTACGTTTACATACACATCAAGCAGATATGAATATACGAGAGAAAATCATGGAGAATTGTAGTTTAAAACAGTAAAATTGACATTGCTACTGAAAATCCTGTGACTTAATCAGTAAAGCACGTCAGGCTATATGATGTTCATATATAGGATACAGGTCTAATTCCTGTCGGAGGGGTTATAATTTCTATGAAAATTCTCAGACATTCAGGCGGTAAATGTTATTAATACTGTTTATTATAAACAGAGCATTTACTTAAATACTTGTATCTATAAAAAGAACACATAATCATAAAAAAGGCCTTAAAATAATTGTCAGACTTTGTCCATTTCATTATTTTTTATATATATATATATATATATATAATCCACAGACACTGTTTCACAGCTCCTCAGTGTGTCTAGATGTCTGATTGCTTCAAGGTGGGATTGAAACCCGACTGAGTTGACATTGTCGCACAGCAGAAAGGAATGGAATTTTAACATTTTTCTCTATGCAAAATATGCCAGTGACTCAGAGAAATCAAGACTTCATACTTGAATTTGTATTTGTTGCCTTGTTAGAATCTGTATTTGCTAAAAGAAATGTAATTTATTTTGTATTGGGGTAAAGGTCGTTTGCCATTTTTGTTTCAGAGACTGTCATTGATTCATTTGGCAATTGTTTTCTTTTAGTTGCAGTCATGATCAGAAAATAATTCTCCAACCTGATGTACTCACTTTCCAACCATGTCCATTGGGCAAGCTGCAACAGCTCAAAGTTAAAATAAAAAATCGGAACGATGAGCCTGTTAAGGTGAGTGGCTATTTGCATGCCAAGTCAGCTGGTGGGAGCGGGTCTAATTTACCTTCGGTAATTCTCGTTTTTTTTTTCTTTTATTCTTTTTTTTTTTTTTTTCTTTTTCTTATACTTTTCTTTTTTTTTCCTTCTTTTTTTTCTTTTCTTCTTTTTCTTCTTTTTCTTCTTTTCTTCTTTTTTCTTTTTCCTTTTTCCTTTTCTCCTTTTTCCTTTTCTCCTTTTTCCTTTTCTTCTTTTTCCTTTTCTTCTTTTTCCTTTTCTTCTTTTTCCTTTTCTTCTTTTCCTTTTCTTTTCTTTTTTTTTTTTCTTTTTTCTTTTTTTTTCCTTTTTTTTTTTTCTTTTTTTTTTTTTCTTTTTTTTTTTTTTTTTTTTTTTTTTTTTTTCTTTTTTTTTTTTTTTTTTTTCTTTTTTCTTTCATTTTCTTTCATTTTTTTTTCCCCAATATAGTGTCTAATGGGTATGATTGTGTGAAACTGGGAGTGTCCATTCACATAAAACAACCTGTCTGATTGAAATTCCTATTCACCCATTTTTGCCTCAATTGTAGATTAGCTGGGGTCAACTCAGCTGAATCCCAGCTTTGGGGCTCATGCAAATTTTCCTTAGTTACTCTTCACACATGCAAATCAACCTGAAACTGACCAATTTCTTAAATAAAAATTGGATGACATATTCATAAATTTAATAGGCCTGTTAATGAAATTTAAGAAATCAAGACAACAAAATGATAACAATATTGACAATAAAACTAATATTTTACAAACACGCATATATATATATATATATATATATATATATATATATATATATATATATTATCACAATGAAATGGACAAGGTCCAACAATTATTTTAAGATATTTTTATGTTTATACATTCTTTTTATAGATACAAATATTTAAGTAAATGCTCTGTTTATAATAAACAGTATTAATAACATTTACTGGCCAGAATACCTGAGAAATTTTCATAAAAAATATTCGGCCTCCGACAGGAATCGAACCTGTATCCTAAATGGAACCGTTATATAGCCTGACGTGCCTTAATCGATTGAGCCACAGAGTATTGTTCAGTTAGCAAGGTCGATTTTACTTTGTCCATTTCATAATGTGTGACGTCATTTGTTTACATTTGGATACACTTTGAACAGATATGAATGTACACTTTGAACAGATATGAATGTACATGAAATTTTCATATTTCTTTTTCTCTTAGATAACTGTGAATGGCATTTGTGAAGATGACGTCTTTTCTGTGTCAGTGAAGTCGTTTATGATAAAGTAAGTAGTCTCCCTTTATAAAGATATTGTAGCCCCCTCATTTTTGTATTACAAAAACTGAAAAAAAAAAAAAATTTTTTTCAGTTGAAAGTTAAGTCAAACAGTGAGATCATTTTGAGGTTGTCTGCCCACCGGGTCGACTCTTCCGTGTGTGTGTGTGTGTGTGTGTGTGTGGTTACTATTAGGTTGGTGCAAAAATAATGACGTAATAATGTCGTTTTTTTACGTATTTTTTAACGTCAAAAAACAACATTCTTACGTCATTATTTTTGCACCAACCTAATATTTACAAGTGTTAGAAAAGTAGGACTAGGAAAGCTTGATACTAAGTGCAGAAAAAAAAAGGTTAATAATATCCAATATGTTGTGCAAAAAGTAAATAGTAACACTTGTAAATAGTGATTGTCTATGCTGTGCCAAGCAAATAAGCCTTCTGCAATGCATGAAAGCCAACTGGTAAATCCAATGCTTTTCACTCAATGGACAAAATTCTTTGACTCTATTATTAATGCCCTGATTACAATAGACACAGTCTGCCTTTTTGACAATTCGATAGTATCTTGATTTAGTACTTTAAGTCTGCATAGTTCTCGATTCATCTCGCAAGCAACTTCAAGAAGTTATCAACCTCTGTCTTTGCTGAGAACGGCTATATTTGGCCATTGAATGTTCAATGCCTAACATCATTATGCTGAGATGCTTCTGCTCTAAAAAAAAACCATCCGATAACTTCTTTTTTTTTTTTACCCTACCCTCTTTCAACTGAGCTTTGTACCAGAAGTAGCTCAATAAATCACAACACTGCCTCTTCTCATTATTAGCGACTTAGTGTTTTATTGATTTTATATAAAATAAATGCTTGTTGGAATCGAGGGGTTTATTTGCTGAGTGGTGCCAGTGTTCGTCCTTGCAGAGGTAAACAAAAGCCTTTCAAAATCTCAAATTGAACACAGCCATGCTGCAACTTCTAAAAATGGCTCGTAAGGCTGATGACTGAAGAGAATCTAACACTGACTACAGAACTTGAAATTGCAATGAACAACAAAGAACTGTGAGGTGTTATCCCTATGAGTGGGCTTATTTGTGTCAAATAAAAATAAACCTGCAACATAAACCATTATTTACTATAGGTAAACAATAGCGGTAAACATGGTCAATGGAATACTGGTGGATTAAGAGTGTAAGGAAACATGAGTGAATGCCCGACAGCCATCTTGAAAAATCCGTTTTTTTTTTCCTCTTTGATGTAGAGAGTTCTAAACATGGGACATAACTTTGTTCCCATTTAGGGTGCAAGTTAACTTGGTTCTGATTTCTGTCCCAGCAGATTAACTCTGATAAGAGCACTGTACCTCATATCAAGGAATTATAAAAAAAAAAAAAAAAAAAATTGCTATAACATTTTGGGGCGTGGCAATGAGGAAGTGTTGAAAAGCACAAGATGTTGGGCCAAGATGTAAAAATCAAGACGTAAAATATAGAAAACTGATTGTAAACATAACTCGACTCTCACCCACTCTTTCACCTGCTGACCAATAATTATCCCACATTGCGTTTGTTTTCTCATTCACATTGGCATACTACAAAAGCTGGGAAAAGGCCTGCTGCATGTTCTCAAAGTAACAAAGAAGAAAAATATCCTCTGAGAAATGAGAACATGAACCCTGTTTCTCATTATAAATTTTTTTTTTTTTTTTTTTTTTTTTTTTTATTCAGAGCTTAGTTTGTTCATCCACGTGGATTGGTAAGTGACACTTAGGGAACTTCTCCTCTGTTGCTTTAACAGCTCGGCTCTTCTTTCCTGTCACTTCCTGCTCATCTACATGTGGCTGGTAATATGAGTTGGTAGCAGACCAGAACAGGATTTTTTAATATTAAGTAGATCAGCAACTGGAAATAATTAATGCCCAGTTTGTTGTTGCTTAATCTTCAAAAGCCCCCCATCCTTTCCTTTACTCTTCCGTTCCCCTTTGGTCAAAGTAGATGTCACTTAGAAGACCGAAGTAAAAAAAAAAAAATATATATATATATATATATATATATATATATATATATACACAAAGATCCAATGGTTATAAAACAAACACTTGCAATTGAGATAAAATTTTACCTTCTACGTAGGTGTCCAAACCATAGTGTCACACACCTTCTTTTTTTAAAGATGTGAGGAAGGAGTAAATTTTTTCCCTATTCCTCTTTCTTTTTCCACTCCCCAAATACCATGCTCCCCATCAATGGGTACCAAGTGGGTACCGGTAGAAATTGTTCTCACAAGACATGAACAAAACAGAGGTGGTGGGACTATAACAAGTTCTAGATGTATTAAGATGACAGCTAAGGTATACAATTTTATTTTATTTTGTATTTTTTTGTGGCACATGTGGAGCCTTGAATTAAGAAGAAGCCAATGGTTGAGAGGAAGATTTCCGTGTGTGATAATCCTCCGTCATAAATTCAGTGAAGAAAGCTCCTAACGATCTGAATAAAACTGGTTTTCAAAATCGCTTTTCACATTAGTCAGGTTACTGAGACTGAAAGAAATATTGTAATTAATTACAGAACATGTTTGCAAAGGCAAGAAAGAAAACAAAACTTAGAAAACTATATCAATGTGAAATGTCTGCTCCGTTTTTCTGAAACTAGTTTGATGAGTTGTTCGCGTTATCCATTAAAAAAGGCTGAGGGCATATGCCTGCTGAATGCCATTGGCTCCATGGCACAAAGAAAAACCAAAGCAGATTCATTCCTGTTGGTGGAATGGTGCTGGCTACAGATTAGTGTACATACAATATCTGTCTATATCTCTCAAGGACATATGGTCCAGTAGCCATCCTGGGTATGACGATAAACTACATCCGCGTCCAGGGTAAGACGATAAACTACGTGCAACAGCAAGGCCTCTGATCAGGGGGTTTTGAGGAGCATGGAGCAACCTCCTAATTGCTGGTGTTCCCAGGTCCACCCTGACCTGGGGTGGTAGCACCTGTTAGGGCCCCAGCTATGGGCAAATTGTTAACACACAAACTTACGTAAAAATAGGTTTTAATACCAGAAATACTTTGTAACAAAAAAAAATTACCAACAAAAAATTTTGAGGTAAAAATTATCAGCAATACTTAAAAAAAAAAAAAAAAAAAAAAAAACAAACAGCTTTACATTTTAAAAAGAAAAAAAAATTACCAGCTATAGATTTCTTGAAGGAAAAAGATTCCCATAAATAGATTTTTGGAACAAAAATATTACCAGCAATAAAAATTTTTGTCGGCACTAAATAACCCATTGAGGTTGATATGCCATAAAACAAACAAAGAACAAACATGGCCCAGGGGATAATGATGTTGGTTAGATCCAGTGACTAGACCCTAAAAGTTGTGAGTTCAGTTACAGGCCACAGCAGTGATGAACCCAAAACATGGAGAGTTGAAAGGAAATAACAGACATCTGGAAGAGGCATTGAACTAGAACAATCTACCCCTGCTGAACGAAATAAAAGGTTTGGTTTGAAATTCCACCTGAAAAAGGCCAGCATGTATAACGGCCGAAACGTTGTGAATATGGCAGTGAAGATGAGGATAACAGTCCAAATAATGTAGTGTACCTGCCTTTGAACAGATATGAAGCCAGTGACAGTGAACACAAGGGTAAGAAGGCAATGAGATGGGAGCATGGATTGTGGCTCTGTGAATTTGTAACAGATCGCTACAAATGTTTCACATGAAACAGTATCTGTAGAATAGTGTCTCAAAAGCCATTGTTTTTTGCCAATGTAACAAGTTTTCAGTTAGGTTAAGCGAAGGCAAACCAGCCAAAGTTTGAGTTGTGGGTGCGTCTGTGAACGGAGATCTTGTTTTCTTTGATCAATGCTTCTTTTTTTTTTTTTTTTTGCTAAATCTCGTTTTTTAATAAATGTCTCTTTTTCTTTTTCCCGCTTTCAGTGGCAAGAAAATGGTGAAACTGCCGATCGCCTTCAAACCCATCCTAAAGGGATTTGCCAACAGACAAATTTTTTTCTCCTCTGGCACAGATTCACTCAAAATGCAGCTTTTTGGAGTTGGGGTTTAAGTGTCAGTCTTTTAAATTTTTTTTTTTTTTTTTTTGCTTAACCCCCCCCCAACCTTTCTTTTTTTTTCATTTGATTTCTTTTAATACAAATTTCTCATTCTTTCAGAATTATTTTTTTCATTTTCAATTTTTTAGCTTCATTTGCGTAACTTTCATGGTTATCACTGCTATTCATTTCTCTGTTTCTTTTCTTTCCTTTTCTTTTCCTTTCCTTTCCTTTTCTTTTCTTTCTTTTTCTTTTTTTCCCCCCTGTCTCTCTCATTTTCGTTTTTTTTTTTTTTTTTTTTTTCCTGGCTCTCTCTCTCTCAATAATTCATCTTTTTTGCTATTTAGGTGGTAGACATAGACAAGACGCTCCCCCCTGCATCTCCAAATGTAATGTTGCCCAAAATTTAGTACAAAACAAGACAAAAATATTTGTCGTCTGGATAAGTAATTGGATAATTCCTTTTTGAGGAAAAAGATCGTAATTCTGCAAAATGTTACACCCGCATTAAAAATTCTCTTAATTCTGATGCAACAGGTGTGGGTGGGGAGAAAGTGCAATTTGCATCATGGCCTTAAAAATGATTTTTTGTTTTCCAGTTGGAGAAAAAAAAAAAAAATCAAAAATTCATCCAATATGTTTATAATGTAAATATATATAAATAAGAACTCAAATAAAAAGCCAATTCTTTGGAGTATTTCTGAATTTTTTCCCCTCTTTCCCCACTTTTTATGCCGAAAGATTAACAATAAAATTAAAGAGATCATTTATTATGGATTCCCCCCCCCCTCACACCTTTGGATTTGCTTGGATTATGGCAATTATTAAACCGGACTTTCAAGTGTTCAGTGTGTGAGTGAATCTGATTTAAACGGATTTGTTTCTCAAATTTACAAGAATGAAATGGAGCGTATTTATTCGTGGATACAGTGTGTTTGATTGTCGTGCATAAAAGATCTATGGAAAGTTTATAATCTGTACACATGAAAAGCCTCTTTGATTTTATGTGATCATTTTGTGTCCCTGACAAATAAAAGCTGTTTACTTATGAAACGTATTTTTTCTTTTCTTGTATGTTTGTATTTTCTTTTGTTTTTGTTTTAACGAAAGTGTAGTGTTTTTCTTCTCAAATGCCAAATCGGTTAAAGATCTCTTTTGACTTTCTTCTTCCATCTTAAAATTGTTCTACAGCTGTGTAAACATTTCTTCTGTATTTTTTTTTTGTCTCTATTTAACAATTGCAGTTTGTAAAGAAAAAAAAAATGTAATTGAAACAAAAAACAGAGATACCTTGCACATCAATCTCCTGCACGTTTTACTTTGTTTTTTGTTTTCCTGTGTAGGGAAAATCAGGAAAGAAGAAGGGATAAATCTCTTTTCCTATTCAAAAGACTGGGGGTGAGTTTAAACTGGATGATAGACAAACCTATTGACTTCTATTGTATTCCAAGGAAAAGTTCTGAGCTGCTTGATATTCACTTAATGACCTACCCCTAGTCTCATAAAATAAAAATAAAATTTAAAACATCCAATTAGTATCATACATAGCATGAAAACATTGTGATTGTTTTTGGTTTTCTCTCTGTCTCTGTATCTGTATCTGTGTCTCTGTCTCTCTGTATCTGTCTCTGCGTCTCTCTGTGTCTCTCTCTGTCTCTGCGTCTCTCTGTGTCTCTCTCTGTCTCTGCGTCTCTCTGTGTCTCTCTCTGTCTCTGTGTCTCTCTCTGTGTCTGCGTCTGTCTGTCTGTCTGTCTCTCTCTGTGTCTGCGTCTGTCTGTCTGTCTCTCTCTGTGTCTGCGTCTGTCTGTCTGTCTCTCTCTCTCTGTGTCTGCGTCTGTCTGTCTCTCTCTCTCTCTCTCTCTGTGTCTGTCTGTCTCTCTCTCTCTCTCTCTCTGTGTCTGTCTGTCTCTCTCTCTGTCTCTCTCTCTCTTTTATTTTATATTAATTTTGGTGCCAAATATGTTTACCAGACACAAGTTTCAGTGAGATATTTGTCACAGCCTGCTGGGGGTACAGTCAGTGATTGACAGTGTTTTGTGTTGTGTTTTTTTTTTTTTTTTTAATTTAAGGGGGTGCTGTTTCGTTTGTTTACAACTCGATGGTAAAGGTTTACATTTTATGCCCCCCTCTATATAATTTTTTTCTTTTCAGGCTTCAAAACTCAACTTTTATGCCACAAGTTATGGTAATTCAGTTTTTTTTCTTCTTTCAAATCACTGATCTCATAATAGATTAAACATGTTTGTGTGCAGTGACTAAATCTTGCATTCCATTTATCTCGCGTCTTTTGAGTGCGCGCGCGCGCGCGAGAGAGAGAGAGAGACTTTCAGAGGAGAAACAACATGCAGGTAATAAACAAATTCAGGTGTTTCATAAAACGTTTTATATCACAAGTAATGCATAGATTGGGAGAGAAAAGGGTACAGTTCTTGTGGCAAAAGAGAGCAATAGACCTGTAAGTTTGATCCAAAATAAAGTCCTTTTAGGTATAGGTCACATGGAAAAGGGGGGGGGCTCGTTTGCGTGGGTGTAGTTTTTCACATGAATGAGTAGAAAAAGAAGCATTGGAATCAACTGCTGTTAATTTTGAATTCTAATTTTCAAAAGATCAGAATCAAAATGAATGTGTTGGCAAAACAATAGTAAAGTATTTATCATTCAATATCCCAGGGTAACAATATGATTTCTCACACATCTATAGAAGATAAGTAGATAAACTGCTTCCTTTCACTCAGCTATCTAAATTTCATTTCCAGTTCAACCTTGAGGCAACTGAATTTGAATTCGGGCTTTTCAGGATTCATGTCCCAAGTTTGCCTTAAAATTTTTATCATTGATTTTAGATATCTGTCTATATTTCTGAGATGAGGTATTATGTACTGAATTTACATTATTTGGACTATTGTCCTCATCTTTGTCACCATATTTATTACAACGTTTTGCTAAACACAGAATATTCCTTTTAATTCTTTTTTTTTTTATAAATAAAATCACTTTAGTTATAAAATATCATGATGTTTTTTGCAAAGCAAAGGAATATTCTGATTTTATTTTAACGATTGAAGGAAAGCAAACCATTTAAAATAGGTACCTTCACAAATTCGGCACGTAAGGTTTAAAATGAATTTAAAAAATGAAAAAGCTTTCTTGAATCTTTCAATTTAGCTTTAAATAAAAGCTAAAGGATTAAATTTACATATTTTCAGTGTCCCATAAATGTTTACAACTTATACATAAATATGAATAAAAAATAGAAAAAAATTAAAAATGACCAATCATCACCATTTCCATGATCTTTTAAACTTTTATCTCTGTGTCTCCTGTTGGAATCTATTTCTTTTTTCTTTTATATGGGTCTATTTATATTGTTTGCGATGTTGAAAGAGGCTCCGATTAAGTTGTTGATTATTTCAAACACGCTCATTTCTTATTGGTTAACATATTTATTTAGGATTGTATTTAATCAGCTTCAACCGCAAGTTATGCGTGGAGCCTATTGCGCAAAGCCCGAAATATGTCATTGTTTTAAGCTATGAAAAAGGTAACTTCCTGTTTCTGTTCTTAGTGTCACTACATAACTTTTCTCCTAGAAAACGGAGTGTGATTTTTTGTTTTCTTTTTGTGTGTGTTGGTTTTCAGTAGTAAAAATGTGTTCTTTTTTTCTCCATTTAACGGTTCTAGCGGATTTTGTTTTTCGTCATCAGATCCATCAATATGAGATTGGGAATTGTTCAATTCCGTATTTCTTTCGACAGAATCCATTGACTTTGTAGTTTTAGAAATATATGCCGATTTTAGTCTCTTCATGGAAACATTACTATACAAATTATCGGACATTTATGATTGTAAAATATTTATTATATCGACTTATTACTTGCAATGGGCCTGTGTACGGCGCTTCCAAAGGTTTTCCTACTCTGTCCGTTCTCAGCCAAATTTATTCACAGCTTTATAAATCTTTAGGAATATATGAATTAGGTAAAGAGTGTAGATGTCTGCTAGAAAATTTGTTCATGTCAAATCTTTGTATCTCTTCAGCTAAAGTCTTCATGTGAGAGTTAATTCTTTATCTTCATTTTTAGAAGTATCGATTAACGATCGAAGAACTTGAGACTGACTTCCCGTTAGGGCAGTAAACGGGGAATAGTTAGACTCATTAGGTGCTATCCTGATTCCAAGAATTAGAATGGGAAGAATTCTAATCCTAACCAGGATTCTTTTCTTGCTATTATTGCTGTTTTAGAGTTCTTTGCGCACTTTCTACTAAACAGTTTGTTTGCGGGAGGTACGCTGTTGTTCACAGTCGGTGAAAACCAATTATTTTTTTAACAATTCTATGAATAATTCAGATTCGAATTAGCTTCCTTTGTCTGTAACAACATGGAGTGGAGCACCGAATCTAGAGATCTATAAGTCTACGAAAGCAATACAGGTTAAAACATAACGGTAGCGTGAAAAATAAGGATCAGCAGGATTCTTTACTGGCGGTAAGGGACCAACAATATCATCATGTACCGTCTGAAAGTGTCTGGAGGGCAATTCAAACGGTTGCAATGCACTTTTTGATGTATTGTTATTTTCGTTTGCTGGCAATGTTGACATTCCTTACACCAAGTCTTTGTTGACTTGTCCATCTTGGGCCAATATTTTATGATTCTTATAGAGGCTGTCGTCCCAGGATGTGATAAATTATGCAGACTGTCAAATACCGATCTCCTTAGCTTTTTTTTTTTTTTTTTTCGTCGGAAAAGGTTGTAAAGGTAATAACACGTCACATAGTATTACGTTTTTGTTCACAGTGTTGGGTTTCAGACGATCACAGAAAGTTTTGATTTCATCGTCAATATTTTGGTATGTCACTATTTCTTGTAAGTTGCAAACATCAATATTGATTGCATTTGCAGGTCGTGACAAACAATCGAGGTCTTCTGTCGGTAGTAATAACCGCAGGGCATCCAAATATTGTAATCCAATTCTGAAAGATAGCGTTGGCTACCGCTTCTGCTGTTATCGTTGATAGCGGTACGGCCATCGCGTGAAGCGATCTACGATAGTCAGGATATATTCGTATCCATTGATCCTGTCAAGCGAACCCACAAGGTCGGCGTGTATATGAGTAAAATGACCATCAGGGACCGTAAAGGTTGACGATGGTACTTTCGTATGACAACTTATCTTTGTTGCCTGGCGACGCTGGCACGTGCGGGAGCACTGTTTCACATCGGAAGCCATACCGGGCCAGACGAATCTGTCAGATATGGTCCGCAGCGTAGCCTTCGCTCCAGGGTGAGCTGGTGAATGAAAGTAGTCGAAAACCATTTTTCTCATCGACGGAGGCAGGTAGGGTCAAGGGTTGCCTGTTGAGATATCACAATAAACAAGCTTGTCAGTGAAAGGTAGTGGACATCTTTCTAATTTCAGAGAGGTATCTGCCTGCACTGAAAGGAGTGTGTCGTCACTCTACTGTTCTTCAGCAAGTGTGTCGAATTCGAGTGAAGATGATTGTATCACGTCAAGTGTAGATCTCGATGATGCATCTGCAACAGTATTATGTTGTCCTTTTACGAACCGAATGTCCGATGTAAATTGACAGATATAATCCAAGTAGCGAATATCTCTCGGGTTTAGTTTATCGGACTTCGCGTGCAGTGCATACGTTAACGGTTTATGATCTGTGAGAATGATAAAGTCTCTACCTTCAAGGATGTATCGATAATGCCGTATCGCCAAATAAACGGCAAGTAATTCTCTTGAAAAAGTGCTATATTTCTTCTGTGTAGCATTTAGCTTTAGTGAGAAAAAAGACAAAGGTGTTTCGATGCCATTAGTAACTTGGTGCAATACAGCGCCAAATGTATCAGCTGATGCATCTGTCGTTAAGTTGAGGTTAGCTTTCTCCGATGAATTAATGTAAGTTAGTTTGGTACAGTTCTGTAGTGCATCTTTTGCATTTTGAAATGATCGTAGCTCATCTTGTGATAGTGATATCTGCGATTTTTTTCTTTTATGAAGAGACAAGATATTCGTCAGTGGTAATAAAATTGACGCACAATTTGGGATGAACTGTCGATAATAGTAAACCATCCCCCAAAATCTCCTCAATTGCTTCAATGTGGAAGGTGGAGGGTAATTAGCGATCGCTGTAATTTTCTGATCCAAGGGAGACAATCCATGCTGGTCTAAAATATGCCCGAGGAAAGTTAAATTCGGTACTGCGAAAACACTTATCAATATTTAGTTTTAACCCGTAGTGTTGTAATCTTTTGAGAACTGTGTGCAGATGTTCATGGTGTTCTGCATGAGATTTGCTTGCTATGAGTACGTCATCTATATGAGCATATGTGTAAGGCATTCCGCGTAGGACTTCGTCTATTAGCCTCTGGAAAGACTTCGCAGCGTTACGCAATCCGAAGGGCATTCTCGTAAATTCGAAGAGTCCGAAAGGCGTTGTAATAGCAGTTTTTTCGGAATGTCGTTTTCCTCGATGGGGATCTGGTAATATGCCTTTTTAAGATCGAGTTTGGTGAATACTTTAGCACCTTCCACTGAAAGGGCGAAATCTTCAATATGCGGGATTGGGTACTTGTCCGGGACGGTCTGCGCGTTTAGTAACCTGTAGTCGCCGCACGGACGCCAACTAGCTGAGTCAGCTTTAACAACCATATGTAGAGGGCTGGCATAAGGACTGGCTGAAGGACGGATTACACCAAGTTTGAGCATATTGTCAAATTTATCACGAGCTATTTTTAGTTTACTCGGGTGGAGTCTGCGAGGTTGAGAATGGACTGGAGGTCCTGTGGTCTTAATACTCCGAGTGGCGTGGTGTTTCACAGGTTCATTATGTGTTGACGGTGACAGTAGCGATTGGTACTGACGTATTATCTGATCGTAGCCATTGGCTGTATGTATAACAGTCGTCAGGCCGATTGACGAATACTTGGAAATGAAACCGCAACGTTGTAGATTAGTGCTAGTGTCAGTTAAGGTTTGTGACGCCAACTCAACCGATAATTTGTAATGGGTTAGGAAGTCCGCTCCTAATATCGGCATTGCGACATCCGCGATAGTAAAAATCCACGTAAATTCTCGTCTAAGGCCGATGTCTCGTGCTAGGGTTCGCTCGCCGTAAGTGGTGATCGGAGTGCCATTAGCGGCCTGTAATTTGAAAGATGTATGCTTGACCAGAGTCTGTTTGCTGCAATTTTTGAGAGGCAAGACACTTATTTGGGCACCGGTATCAACTAAAAATTTTAAACCGCTCGCTCTGTCGTGGATGTAAAAGAGACGATTAGTTTTTAAATATCTGGCATCCAACGTCTCTACTGGGTGCCAGCGAGTCCGTTTCCCGCTTGTTTGTTTAGAAATGACTTTTTATACGAACATGGTGGTCGGCATTTCTTCGCGCGCGCGCCAAAATTCTCGTGGTACCAGCAATTGTCATGTTGGTAACGATCACGGCGTTGTTGGTATTTATGCCGAGACGTCGATCTTGAACCACGGTTACTGTGTCGCGTAAAATTATCACGCCGACTTTCATGTGGTTTTTGTAAATCACGCAGTTGTAGAGATATTTCTTGCAATTCTGAAGACAATTTTTGAATCTGTTGGTTGACATCCCGCGCGTTGGGGTCGTCACTAATTCTGTTTTTGTACGTCGGGATTCCAATTTTGATTTCTTCAACGATTCACACGTCTGAATCGCCAATTTTTGTTTGGGTTTCGCACGTCGGTGGTCACCAATTTTGTTGGTGACGATTTTTTTTTTTTTTTTTTTTTACATGAACGTCGGGGTAGTCAAATTTGTTTTGAACGTCAGGGTCGCCAGTTTTGTTGGGGATGTGCAGAATTTATTAATTATGCTTGAAAGAATCAGAAGGAATTTGTGTAGGTTGCGTGACTTTCTGCACCCACAACAAATAAATAAACGAAATTTAAAATACGATTAAGAACGAGACATATTCAATTAGAAACTAATATAACATTTATATACAATTCAAAACAATATACAAACAGGATAATTGATATATGTTATGTTGGCAAAATGTGTATGAGGTTTTAGATTTCAGAATGTCTCTCTTTGTAATTGTTCGTTCATTTACTGTCTTTTTAAGTTTTTATTGATATTAATAATTGTCGATATTAAGTGTCTTTTTAGAAGTAGTTTTTGAGAGTGATCTACCTTTAACTGTAATGTTTTTTTAAGGTCGTTCGCACGTTGATGTCTACTTAATAGGTAGCGAATATAATTCACTTTAGATAAGCAATGTTTGAGAATCGATGTCCACAGATTTGATTGAGTTTTTTGATCGTGAATGAGTCAGCGATGATGTATCTTTGCGCGGATCGTGATTTCGAGTGACGTGGAGTGTGTTGGCAATTACTCCGTGGGTGTTTATTACTGACTGCCTGGGGCGGTCAGCGTTTATTTTTATAAGTCCTGAAAGTCTGAAGTTGGCTCACTTGAATTTTGGCGCAATTTCGTTCTGCACGTGAACTTTCCGTGATAAACCAATGAGATTGGTTGTTTCGCCTAATGCAGTTTTAATTGGTTGAAGTTTTCCGTACGTAGGCGTAAGATATAGACTGTTCTGCTGCTAGGGTTGAAAGGTAAGGAAAAGGACGAGTCTACACTTTCTTTAAAAATGGCGGACGTTTTTTTAGTCTATAGAAATTCGCCATTACGATAAATCAAAGTAGCGATTTAGATTATGTCAGCAACAGAAAGAGAAAAAAAATCGCAAAAGCCATCGTTATTTACAAGAATGTCAACTCGATCAGTGAGCAATTTCTCTCTGACAAAGCCACTTTCAACAAGATCATTATTCATGCTAAGTGGTAAAGGGTCGGCAATGATGAATCATCATTGATTTTTGTTTAATGTCGCTAAGAATTAAATAATTTAAATTTCCTTCAAGAGTTTCAATAAGTATTTCTCGTGTATTCATTTCCACATTTTCTGTCAACCTATGATTCTTTCTCCTTTTTTACAAATTCTTCACATGTCCTCAACGCAATCAATTTTTTTTTTATTTTCTGTATTTCTTTAAAGACATTTTAGGTCTGCGATTGTTAAACAAAATAAAACCAAAATTTCCTTCGGGGCAACGAAGAACGAAAGACAATTCAGAAAATTATTTTATTTTATTTTATTTTATTTTTTTTGATTTTTGTTCCTTGAAAAAAGAAAAAGAAAAAAATGAAGAACAAGAAAAACGGAGAAAAAAAGAAGAAAAAATGAAAAAGAGAAAAAAATAATCGTTCTATAATTATTTGACTCATCTCATATTGTTATCCGACAAAAAATTAGTTTGTAATGAAAAATTCATCAGTAAAAATAAATTTTATTTATCAGCATAAATTAAAAAAAAAAAGTCTTTTTTCTGTAAGAAATAAAAAAAAAAATCGATCAATAGAAATTGGTTTCGATTCGTCAGAAATTCCATTCGTTGGGTCAATCAATTCTTATCGATTTCTTTTTTTTTTTTTTTTTTTTTTTGTCTCATTTCAAAATTCAATTTCATTTCCACATTTTCTGTCAACCATTGATGGTCGGAGATAAAGTGGAAAAAAAACAAAACAAATATAATTATTCTTTTTTTATTTCACTCAAACATTAAAAGGATTTTTTCTTTTAATTAAAATTTGCCTTGAATCATATTACGAAACTCAACATTTTTCTGTAATTACTTACCTGAACTCATATTGCGAATTCATTGAAAACTTTTTACAAACGTTCAAAAAATTTCCAATAGAAAATTTATTCACATGAAAGAAATATTTCAAAAAACACGAAAACGAAATCTAATTAAAATAAATTTTATTTGTAATATTTTTAAAAAATCTCAAAACTTGTTTATTTACAGAAAAGTTTTTTATGTTTTTAATTAATTTTGAAAATTTTCATTAATGTTTTCCCGTCGTTTTGAAAACAAGCAAACAATTTTCTCATAGAGACAAAAATCCTCGGATATTCTTCAGATTCTTTCGGAAATTTATACAGAACTTTTTCCGGAAAAATCGAAAAAATTCCTTCTAAGTTGCAAAAATAAAACTGTCCAAATTCATCTGCACGAAAATCGTAGATTCCATTTTCGGTTTTCACCTTTTGACGAATTCGTCCGTTTTTATCAAAGACACAGATTTCCAACATTCCTATTCTTGTCCCCCACAAATTGCCAGTCGTGGGATCGGCACGAAGGAGGGGGTCAGAATCACAAGCGGGCCCCGGAGACTCCTCAAGTTGGATTCTTCTTTTTATTTGATTTCCATCTTTAGAAAAACAAAGAATTTCTTTAAAATTCCAATCACAAACGAAAATTTGTTCGTTCATTTGACACAAAGAACAAAATTCATTTTCTTTTGTTTTGATTATATTTTCTTTCTTTAAAAATGGCGGATGTTTTTTTCGTGAAAAAACCAAAAGTCCCCCACGGCCCCACGGCCCCGGTTCCGACCCCAAATTACCACAACTAGCCAAAATGCCTGTGGAAAGAGGAGAAATGTCCATGGGTTTGAATTTCTCTCCTCTGACCTCGAAGTGATATCGGCCGACGACTTCCCCAGTCCGGGCGAATTCCTTGATCGATAGGTCGCTCGCATCGCCAACAATCACGTGACCGTCTTCGTCGCTGCCGGCAATCGAAACACTCCACAAGTTCGAATCCTGCAGGCGGCATTCACTTTGCAATTCCAATTTCTCTGGGTACCATGTTTCTGCCGTGAAGTCAACGATTTCTTCTTGAAGTTGGTTCAGTGATCGCTGGCACCATTCTGGAAAGGTCACCACAAAATGACCTTCCTCGACAGGAGTGAACGATTCGTGGAGCCGCGAAGAAAGCTCCGCTCCCAGCGACCGTACACGAGAAACAACGTCCTCGTCGTCATTGCCGGCGACTAACAAATGGCGCAAATCCATCCGCCACTTTCCTGCCTCCTCCAAGAGATTTTCTTTCTCCTGGAGAGATTGGCGCCATTTTCTTTCTTCTTCTGTCGTTTTTCGTTTCATTTGGTCGCACAACTTTGCGGCCTTCAGCCGTGTATTTTCCAGAAAAGCATCAAACTCCTGCCAGATTTTTGAACATTTCGAATCGCAATCGATTGACAATTGTTCAATCGACTGCTTCGTCCGTTCAATCCTTTCACGGAGCCGCTTTTCGAAGTCTTCGACATCTTTGTCCAGTTGCAGGCTGAACATTTTTGCTTCCAATATCTCATTCCTCAACGACGATGAAGCCATTTCTAGATTTCTTACAGGCAAAATGAGATCTAAAAATGCAAAGACAAAAAAATATTTTTTAGAAAAAAAAAAAAAATAAAACAAAAAAGGTCAAAGTTCAAACCCATAAAAATTCGATTTCTAAAACCAAAAGTAAAATGACCCGAAATGTTTAGATTTTAGAAGAAAAACAAATCGATTTCCTTTTTAGTTTTCTTCTAAAATCACAAATAAATGAGGGCGGTGGGGTTAAGGGGAGGGTGAATGAAATATGAGAGAGGGGGAATAGTGAGAGTGAGAGAGAGAAAAAATAAAAGTGACTCACCTGATTTCTTTTTTACGAAAAATATAGTTTTGTCTATTGTTTTGGGGGTTAAAATAATTTTTAATCTTACTAATATAAAGACCCCTTCCCGACCACCTAGGGAAAAAGTTTATTCACACTAAGGTATTCTATTGATAATTATAAATTTGGATATAAATGAGATTCAGGAAAAAACTCTGTGCAAAAAAGTGACTCAGATATCGCATTCTAATGATTAAACTGGCAAATTTAAAGAGATTTTGACAAAATATTGAAAACTATTTTACAATACACCCAGAACAATATTCTAGAGAATTCTAGAACAGCTTAAATTAAATCTAGAATATTCCAGAATAAGAAAGCCTCATACAGTATAAAACAGCTTGAAATAAAAAGTCACTAACCAGATGAAAAAAACACACATCAGAACCACTTAAGGCATCTATTATTGCCCTCTCAAAAAGCAGGCAAGTCTACGAGAGAAATTGCAGAAATTGCTATAACCTCGCAATCAACTGTCTCTCGAGTGCTTAGGGCACATAATGATGCCACTCCTGCTCCAAGGAAGGAAACAAGGGGATGAAAAGAAAAAGATTGATGATAGAACTGGCAGGGTAATCAAAGAGAAGTTGCGAAGAATAGGACTATAACTAGCCAAGAAATTGCAGCCAGTCTAAGCGAAGAGCAAGGTGTTAGTCTTGCCTCTTCAACAGTCCGTCGGTGGCTGTTAGAACAAGGCTACAAATCTTGTACACGAAGGTTTAAGCTGCTAATAAGCAAAGCCAACAAAGCCAAGAGACTTGAATGGGCTCACTATTACAAAAATTTCACCGTAGAAGACTGGAAGAATGTTCTCTTCTCCGATGAAACGAAAGTTGAGCTAAATTCAAAGGATAAGCGATCTAAAATCCGAAGAAGAAGCTTTGAAAGCTCTTTGAATTTAGCAGTAAGTACTGTCAAGCATCCGTTCAGTATAATGTTCTGGGGATGCTTTTCTTTTCATGGAACTGGTTTCTTAAAACCTATTGAAAAGACCCTCAGGAGCGAGCAGTACAAGAGAATTTTAGAGTCTTGTCTGCTCCCTTCTGCTGAAAGGGTGCAAATCGACCCCACCAAGCTCATTTTTTATGCAGGATAATGCTCCCTGTCACAAATCAAAATTGATGAAGGAATACTTTGATGAGAAGCAGGTGAGTGTTATGACATGGCCGCCCCAATCTCCTGACCTCAACCCCATAGAAAACTTATGGAGCATTATAAAGTACAGGCTCTCGAGAAAGCAGTCGAGCAACTAAGAGGATTTGATTGTGAATTTCATATCAAAATGGAATTCAATGCTTGGAAATGATATTTGCTAGAACCTAATCAAGTCAATGCCAAAAAGGGGTTGAAAAGGTTATTCAAAATAAAGGAGGACCCATAGATTATTAAATATTTCGAACTATATTACCTATTATAAATAAATTATACCTCTATTATTCTTTATTTAAAGCTGTTCGGTTATGTTTCTATTGATTACTAGTTGCAGGAAATAAGTGAGTCACTTTTTTGTACAGAGTTTTTCCCCAAATCTCATTTATATCCCAAATTATAATTATCAATAGAATATCTTAGGGTGAGTTACCGGGTGGTCGGGAAGGGGTTTTTATATTAGTAAGATTAAGAATTAGTTTGACCCCAAAAACAATAATCGAAAAATTCTTTAAGTAAAAAAAAAAATCAGATGAGTCACTTTTATCGAACAGCACTGTACATTATATATATATATATATATATATATATATATATATATATATATATATATATATATATATATATATATATATATATATAAGAAGAGAGAGGGGGGAGAGGAAGGAAACAGAGTGTGTCAGATTGAGTGAAAAATGAGAGAAATCGAAAGAAACTAAGGAGAGAGTGGTTATCGATGCAGAAGTGAGAGGGAGAGAAGAGCAATTAGAGAAAAAGAAGGAAAAAAGGGTATTTTGTTTATGACCAAAGAAACAAGAGAAAGGCTTCCAATTTATTGCCTTTAACAATCATTTTTAACATTCAGGTAAATTGGTAGTTGAGTTTCATTTCTTTCACGTTTTTAATTTAATTTTAAGATGGCGGCCTTTTTATCATCTGCTTACGAAACGATTCTTTTTTTTTTTTTATAACGACAAAATTGAACACATCTTAAATAATAAACTGGTCCATTCATTAAAATAAAAATGGGGTCATTTTTTGGTGGTGGTGGTGGTGGGGGTAACATATGTTTTTTTGTAGATTTGCATTTATTAGACTTTTTAAATTTGATAAACGAATGTCAGAAAAGAGGGGGTCCTGGTTATAATATAAATAAAGTGTAAAATCGATCCCTGACTTTACACATTAGACATTTTTTAAGTTTATTTTATTACAAAAACTTCGTTTAAAGAAGAAAGAAAAAAGAAAAGAAACGCAAGTTTTTCTCTGAAAAAAAGTTACATGAATTAATCAGTCTGCATTCGTTTATTCTTTATTTAAAATAAAGAGTTATTCCTCAGTCTGTAAATTACTCCCTCCAAAAAGCGAAAAATATGCAGATATCTCTGATGGGGACAGTTTCAAACATAACATTTCTAAATAACAATTAAGTTCAATAATTCTTCCAAAGTCAGGGATCGATTTTGCACGATATCGATATTATGAACAAGACCCTCACTTTATAAATCGAAAATAAAAAAAATGAAAAATTTTCGATTCTGAAAAATGTCGTCAACACTTAAGAAAACCCAATGAATTTTAAATCCCATCTCACCAAAAATGTTCACCATTTTATTACAAATGAACCCGTCTATTTAAGTAGTGCCAAGAAGTGAATTAAGTTTTCGAAAATATTGCAAATGTGTAAGCAAACAAGAGAAACAATACACAAAACTGTTTTTACAACAGCAAACAATCTTCATTTTATATAATGTAATGATATAAAAACAATTAAGTTCGTGATTAATCAATAGAAATTATGTACCTTTAACCTGAATGTCTTAAAATCTATTAAGAAGGAAATGTTTTTATCTGAGCTCACAGAAAAAGAATAAAAAGATTAGTTTTAACAAGAAATATTCTTTGTCAAATAGTTGCAAATTTGAAAGTTTGTGTGAAGGAAATTCTGGGAGTCTGAAAATGTCTTGGATACAAACTTGTAGTATCTGTCTATATTTCTGAGATGAGGTATTATGTACAGGATTTACATTATTCCGAAGAAGGCCGGAGCGTACAACGTCTAAAACGTTGTAATAAATATGGCGACAAAGATGAGGACAATAGTCCGAATAATGTAAATATTGTACAAACTTGTAGCTTCAGAAGGTTTTTGAAGTAATATTTCTCGCTGGTGAATATTGACAAAAGTTATGTTTGTTGCTGAAGAAAATCTCACTGGTTGGGTCAGTGGCGTAGCTAGAGTAAATGTCACCCGGGGCGGTCCGCTCAAATGTCACCCCAATGCCCCCGATTCACCCTATGCTGAATGGTTAGCTGTAGCTAAATTTTCATACATGCTCTACCTCTACTTTACTCTACTGACCTGTACGTTACTGTTTACATGTATGATCCAAGACAAAATCCAATACCACAAAATAATCAGTTCAAATCAAAAGATTTTTAAAATGCAACTGTTCACTTTCAAAACAACTAAATACAAAACACGGCAATACACAAAAGAATGACATTCGATACTATGGTCTTAGAATGAATGTTTTCTTGTTTTCATTGTGGCAAACTGGTCAATGACATCGTCAAAATCTGTTTGTCTTGTAAGCTCATTTTCAATGGACAGCACAGCCAGATCCGACAGTCTCGATTGGCTCATGGTTGACGTAATTTTCTGTTGCTAATTTTACGGTGTCCAATTTTCCGTTGCATCATTTTCTGGGTACCATTTAATTATCAATGATGTTTGAAAGTATTTTTCTTGACAAAAATGTTCTATTTAATATTTAAGCATTTTTCGGAACATTGTAAATCAACTGCATTCTTTTAAAGGTTACCTAGAGAATTTATGCAAAGTTTATTTTTTTGTTTTTCTTTATACAAGTAAAATGAATTTACATCGTATTTTGATGTTATTATGATTTTAGTTTTAGTGATAATTTAAAAACAATAAATATTTATCATTAGTACCAATAATGGAAAATTAAGTTAAAAATTTAAAAGAATCGTTTTTGGAATCGGAAAATAGGCACAAATTTTTCCGATTCCGATACCCCAAAAAGTTCCGATTTTTCCGATTCTCGATTCCGATTAATCGTCCCAACACTAGTAGATATATTCAAAAGTATATCGCTCACTCAATGGAAAATTGTATCTCAGCGAATTGATACACAGGCAAGACTGAAATTGTTGCACTTTTGGCTTCGTATTTCGCTTTGTTGTTATTAATGATGCAGAGTTAAAATCCGATAAAATGTTACAACAATGTCTCTTGTTAGTAACCAAGATTGTAGCAACTGAAACACATGAAAGCTGAAAACATTGCTATTTTTCCTACTCACAAATTTCACGACAATTTATTAGAAAATTTCTGACGGGGTGATAAAACTGGAGGTGGGGTCATAAATTATTTCTGGGGTGTCATATGCTCGCCTGCGAAACCCTGTGTCTCCACCACTGTTTACAGACTAATTTTGGCACCTTAGCCTGGTGGCGCCCCCTAGCTACGGCACTAGGTTGGGTTCAGCCAGTTTTTGGTACATATTCCGTTGACGGGTGAACGACTTAAGTGAGAGAATTTTCGTAATGTTTGTAGATGTTCGTTGTTCGTAGAAATTGTTGAAGTGTGTTTGAGTGAATTCGTATATGTGAATGTTCTGTACGTACGTGTATGCGTGTGATGTTTTCATAGCGTTCGCCCATAAGGGGTCGAAACGCGAGTTCTTCACTTACTACATCTTGTATGTCAGAGAAGGCAAGAGAGACCGAAAGAGAAAGAACGAATCTGTGTCAAAGTATTTATAACCAACGTGGTCACGTGATAGACTTGAAAGGCATTCACAGATTTTGGGCGGAATTGTATTTTCGTTCAGGTCAAAATTTAGGTCGATATTATTCAAACGTAGTTCGGAACATGATTTTAATATTAACTGACCAATGAGAAGTGAAAAAAAATATCATGGCTCTGTGATTCACTTTTTGTGTTTAATTTGCACAAAAATTGATAGTGATAGAAAGTGCACTATTTACATTATTCGGACTATTGTCCTCATCTTTGTCGCCATATTTATCACAACGTTTCGGCCGTTGTACGCTCCGGCCTTCTTCAGCTGGTTGGAATGTCGAATTGAACCCTTTATTTCGCTCGCTGGGGTAAACTGTTCTAATTCCACGTGCCATGTCTAATGGATGTCAGTTATCAGTTATATCCTGTTAATTCCTGTCTCCAAGTTCTCCAATGCCCTAACCGGGTATTGAACTCACAACTCTTTTGGGTCCTGTCACTGGATCTAACCAACGCCTTTATCCACTGTGCCATGTGTCCTTAAGGAGCCGGAGCGTACATAAGCCGAAACGTTGTAATAAATATGGCAACAAAGATGAGGGCAATAGTCCGAATAACGTAAATAGTGTACATAATACCTCATCTCAGAAATATAGACAGAAACTGAAAGAAAGTGATAACATAATGCTAAAAAGACAGATAAAAATAAAGAAACGCATTAAAATCCAGATCAGACATTTTTGAAAAATAAGTATATTGAAAAAAAATTAAGGTAATAAGAAAAAGTTTGTCTTTAAATATGAATTTTTTAAATATGAAAAAAAAAAATTTTCATTGTTTTGATGAAAACATTTCTAAAATTTCGATTATTTGGAAATCGATATGAAAATTCTGACTTACATTTGATTTCGTTCCGATTTCACTTGAGTGAAATTGTTTCTCCTTAAAATTTTGCAAGGCCATAAATACGACGTCTTTTTCTTCGTGTTGTTTCTCGCAAAGTGAATCAAGTGGAAAAACGGTATGACGTCATGGGGATATGGGGTCATTTCATTGGACGAGAATAATCACACCACTGGACTGGCGGGCGTTTCCTTCGATAAAAAGGGAGGGAAAATATGGAAGGGTAACCGAAGGGGAGGAATAAGTACTGTGACGTCATGAGAGTATAAGGCATTTCATTAGACGAGAATAATCACACCACTGGACGGAAGGGCGTTTCCTTTGATAACAAGAGAGAGAAAATATGGAGAGAAGAAAGGGTTTATGAAAAACAGAGAGAGAGGGGGACTTTTTAAAAAAATTTCTTTTAGATAAAGAAAGAAACTTCATATGTGATAAATATTAATAAAATCGAATTCAATTCCATCAAATGTCATATCATGTAAATTAAAAGGAAATCTGTCTATATTTCTGAGATGAAGTATTATGTACACTATTTACATTATTCGGACTATTGTCCTCGCTATATTTATTACAACGTTTCGGCCGTTGTACACTCCGGCCTTCTTCAGGTGGTTGGAATGTCGAACTGAACCCTTTATTTCGTTCACTGGAGTAGACTGTTCTAGTTCCACAAATATGGCTACAAAGATGAGAACAATAGTCCGAATAATGTAAATAGTGTTAAAAGGAAATGTCAAATAAAGTTTGAATTTATGTAAAAGTTTATTTCATAGTTTATTTCATATAAAGTATTTATATAATACTTTATATATATATATATATATATATATAAGTATTTTCATGTGTGGTTTATTTGTTGGAATCGATTTAATATTTTCTGTTTTGTAAATCGAAGGAAAAAAATCAATAAAATATCTAGACACTCGAAGACAAATTCGGAAATATTTGTTTAATGTAAAATTCACATAGTATTGTATATAGATGACAAAAGTGAAATAAAATTAATCCATGGCTGACCACATATGGATTTAAAAGGGAGATCACCACCCTCTGTGGGATCATGTTAAAATCATAGACAAAGAACATCATTGGAAAATTCGTAAACTTAAGGAATCAGCACATATTAAGTTCGGGGCCTTTTTTTTATCAGGGTATGTCACATTTTTAGCGAAAAAGTGGACATTAAGATCAGTAAAAATAAAAAAAGCGGGGCCGATAACTACGTACTCTTCCGCGCTTGGCTTCCCACAGCAAATGTATGCAAACAACGTCAGTAATGGCTGCCGCCAACGACGCGAATAAGTCCGAAATTTTAGTCTGGATAACTCCAAAACGGTAGATTTTATCAAATTTATCAAGTTATTTTCGAATGAAGCATTTATACCTAAATGTAAGTATTCAGGAAATTTTTATTACAAACTGAGCGCGGGTCCTAATCTGCAAATTACCCAATATTGCCTATCATGTCTACAACGGTAACAAATAAGAAAGATGTCGAAAATGCTGTCGTCTTCATTTACAAGAATCTCAAATCGATCAGTATACCATATTTAGAGGACAATAACATTTTCAATAAGATTATATTTTATGCCAAAATGGTCAAGAAATATGAAATATTCGTCTCGCCATTATTTGAGATAAATAAACGTTAAACACGCATTTTTAAAATAATTTGAATGTTTTCATTGAAATTAAATTTGGGTTTCATTTGAAAGGTAAGAATCTAAAAAAGCTAATTCATATAAAAAAAAAGAACTAAATTTTCGTATGTAAATAAAGTTTGTAGACCTTTTAAAAATATTCACTCGTCAATCATCGATACGCCATTATAGACAAAAAATATAAACAACAAATTTTAAAATCTCATAAAAATTGACTTTGAAACATATCTCTGGGAGAAATACTGAATTTTATCATAAAATCCAGTATTTGTCTCAGTAGTATTTGTAGTTTTCGCATATTTGTGATTGTATTAGTATAAGTGTAAAGAGAATTAATAATGAGCAAAAGTTTATGTACAGTAATGAATACAGTACATGTACATTTCTGTACAGTACAGTAACATGATTTAAATTTATTGAATTAAAAGTAGGTAAAATGTGACAATGCTGAGTTCGTTTCGTTTAAAATCTATGCAAAGTGTGTTTTAAAAACTCAATTCGTTTTTTCATTGATTTAAATTCTTAAACGTTTCTAGTTTCTTTGCATTGTTTTACTCAAATTAAAAGGAGTGACCAAGGCTAGCAACAGCTAGTTTGTCGAAGTTAACTCCTCCTTAATTGTCCAAATCGTTCACCAGGGGGCGCTCTTCCTACATTATTAATACTGGGCGATTTATTGCCTCGTTCTCTTTCTACATTGCATTTCAGCGGACACATTTACAAAATGTGATCTCTCGCAGAGATCTGCGTTTTGCCCGCTTATGGGAAAACGCCATGAAATCCACATACACGTACGTACGAACATTCACCAAAACACAAACTCTTTATATTCACGTACAAACACAAATGTTAATATATATGTCCATTGTAAATTTTGTTGTGTAATACATATATCTGTTTGAATATATATATATATATATATATATATATATATATATATATATATATATATATATTCAATGTAACTATTTCGTCTCGAAAACCTACGAATTTTTGATTTGCAAATAATCAAATCAATCTCGAAGAAAAAAAAATGTTTTAAAAAAAGAAAAGAGCCAGGAACATGAAAGTCTGTCGAAAAAGATCGCACAGATACAGGTTTAAAGCCCAAAGAAAAAAAACCCGACACGAATAAACAACTAACTAAAAAGAGCTCAATACAACCGTAAAGCAGACTTAGATAAACCTAGTGAGCCAGACAAACCTACCAGGATCGTCAGGGAGAGCTGCCTCTCCCTGACGATCCGCTTTGGTGAAACTTTGGTAAGTTTGTCTGGCTCACTAGGTTTGACTATATATATATATATATATATATATATATATATATATATATATATATCGGTCTTGTTGGTTTTCTTTACCCTTCTTTATGGTGGATTCAATCTCTGAGTCCGCCATGTTCTTGTAGTGGACATTCTAGCAGGAATAAACAACGTGTTCCTAATTTAACAACACGTAAACCCCACGGTCCGCTACAAGTTGAAATATTTCCATGAAATAAATCATTCGTTGGAAGGTTTTTTTTAATTAAAGTGTTGTAAAAAAAACCTTCCAACGAATGATTTATTTCATGGAAATATTTCAACTTGTAGCGGACCGTGGGGTTTACGTGTTGTTAAATTAAGAACACGTTGTTTATAAGATTATATTTTATGCCAAAATATATATAACACATATTAGACACATATACGGTGTTTGAATTTTAAACTGAAATTGTTGTGGACTGGTGATTGTGTTTAAATTGATCAGAAGGAATTTCGAGGCCGTGTTCTACAACATTCGTCCACAACGATTATTTAGAACAAATACTTGGAACAAATCATGCAAATAAAGTTAAAAACAAGACAAAAGTTGAATGCATAAAAATAACATCAATTTATATACAATTTATACAAATATTCAAAGTTGTTCAAAGTTGCGTACCTTTATCTGCTTGAGAAAAATGGAATGTTAGTTACTGATACTTGTTATGTAGTGAGAAATATCATTTTAAAAGTATAGTAAGTGAAGTTCGAGAAAATGTTCTAGAGAGATAGAGTGTGCTCGAAGGTTACCGAGTTAGTGAATATTTTAACGTGGCAAAGTCCGAGTTTTGACTTGAGTATGGTGTGTGGTGTATTGGAAAGTTCTCTGCGAATTCGTGAGACTGACTGGCGTGGAGTTGATGGGCTTCTCTCTAGGTGAAGAGGTCTGACTGCATGAAGTTGGTAATTGTCTTTAACGTCTGGTCAGCAATGAAGGTGAAGGTTACATCTTGAAACTTGGTAATTACTGCTCCTCGCCTCCAAGGTTCACACGTTCTCTCTTTATATAATCACCGGGTGGCTCGCAGCGTATGAGCGGGAAAACAGCTTAGTCGCGTGCAGGCGGTTTGATTGGTCGGAACTGACCAATCAGCAAGCCAGATTGGAGGTGATTGACCAATGAATACTTGTTATATTGTCTGAAGGTAGAATTTGGCTTACTAGATAGGAAGAGTGTATTTCCTACAAAGAGGTAAGGCTGGTTGTGTTGTGGAAGAGTCTACAAAATCAATCATTAGAAAAATGTAAAAAAATATGAACTTTAATTAGAATAAAATAAAATGTATAAAATGCAAGAAAAGCATATAAACTACACATCCTGTTCAAGTTTATTTATACGGTACATTTCATCACTGCAGTTTGTTCCTTTACATTTTTTTATACAGTTACTGCGCTGTATAGTTTAATGTGTTACTGTAAATATTACTGTAGATGTGCAATAAATTTTAATGGGTAATTTTTTGATAATTTTTGTAGCCCACAATGTCACCCAAGAAGCTGGTTGCTATTAAGAAGAGGGAAAAAATATCCGTGCAAATAAAGGAGGGGACCATTCGGAAGCATGAAGAAGGTACCCGTGTTTATGGTTTTGACAATTTATACGGACGTTCAGCATCGACAATTTTCACTATCCTAAAGAACAAGATAGAAATTTTTAAAAAGCTTGATGTATCCAAGGGAGTTAACAAAATTACCAAGTATCGTCCAAAAGCCCCAGACGATGTTAAGAAGCTGTTGTTGGTATGGATGAATGAGGGAGGCAGCTACGAAGTGATTCTGTGTCTGAAGATATGACATGTACAAAGTCAAGGGTAGTGGACATGGATCTTATCAGAAAAAATATCAGGCACGTCTTCTGAAGATAAAAATATATTTAAGGCAAGTCGAGGAGCGTTTGAAAACTTGAAAAAGAGAACCGGTATACACGTTGTAGTGAGACATAGAGAGGCTGCGAGAACTGATAAAGCTGCCTTGTTTCAGAGCTGTTTTGAAGTGACCGAAAATACAAGCCTGACCATAAGTGAATTTTAGAAGGATCACTTCAGTATCCTAAATTGCTTAAATCTCATTGTCTATCAGCTTGTCTATCAACCTGTCTGTCTCTCTCTCTCTCTCATCCTGTATTTCAGTCTGTCTGTCAGTATATCTGTCAGTCTGTCTATTATCAGCCTCTCTATCAGCTTGGCTATCAGCCTGTCTTTCTATCAACCTATCGGCCTGTTTTATCCGACTGTTTAGCTGTTTATCAGCCTGTAAATTCCTTTTTGTTTGTCTCTCAGCCTGTCTGTTTCTCAGGCTGTATATCTGTCTGTTAGTCTTTCAGTCTGTCTATCAGCCTGTCTGTTTTTTTTCTGTCTGCCTGTCAGTGTATCAGCTTTCTATCTATCTATCTATCTATCTATCTATCTATCTATCAGCCTGTCTGTCTATCAGCCTGTCTGTCTCTTAGTCTGTCTATCTG